TATTCATATTTGCACATATATACAGGAAAAACATAAACAAAAAATCCACCACATACCTTATACAAATTATATCCACTTCACAAATCATAAATAAGATACCTAACTGAGTTAGTCTCAACTGAGCCTTGGACTTCTCTCCACTCCTTTGGTAAGTATCGAATAAATTATATAGTCGCGTACTTTTTAACTCTTTTACATAGGCCTTTCCCGCTGTTAGAGTTATTTCAACCCCGCCAGTGTCACCTGAGATTTAGATTCCATATACATTAAATATTTCTTCCAATTATCATGAAATTTCTGTTCGTCTTGGTCCCTTAATCTTCCTGATATTCTATCAAACTCAGCATAATTTATCATTTTAACCTGCCAATCACTTATGTTGGGTATTCTAATTTCCAATTTTGTGCTAACATAATTCTTGCAGCTGTCGTAGCATATAGAAACAAGATCTTGTCTTCTTTTTTAATTTCTTTACCGACCATTCCTAACAAAAAAGCTTCTGGCTTTTCAAACAGGAATTTGGAAATGCTGGAGGTTGAACTCAGGACTCGCTGCCTGCTAAGCAGATGTTCTACCATTCAGTTTGGGAAAGGAGATTCTTCCATCTCAATGCTGATGCTTCGATGTTCAGCTCCCATACAGCTGGAGGCACTGCCACAAGGACAAGGGGCTGTAGCCAACTAATTTTTTTCTAAAAATTAATAGACCTGAATGAATGAAATTTATTATGGTCACAGACCAGGATTAAAAAGCATATAGATAAAATAGCAGTTAGGATTTTTAACCGATAATTGTTAGGGCAAATGAGGACAAGGAGACAGGCATAAAGCATCTGAATAAAATACAAGATTAAACACGGATAATGGATGGATAAAAAACTGATAATTAAAACAGATAAGAATTTAAAACAAACAAAGACACGCAGTTAAAACAACGGTAAGAGCATAAGAACTAAAAGACTCGCAGATAAAACAACTATAAGAGGCTGCAGTAGAAGCCTCTTAAATAGAGGACACTCACAACATTAAAAACTGCTGTGCAAATATGGTTAAAACAGACAATTAAAACAATGTACAACACTAAATTTAGATACAGATAGGTAGCCGTGTTGGTCTGCCATAGTCAAAACAAAAAAATTCCTTCCAGTAGCACCTTAAAGACCAACTAAGTTAGTTCTTGGTATGATTAGATACCAAGAACTAACTTAGTTGGTCTTTAAGGTGCTACTGGAAGGAATTTTTTTTGTTTTGACTAAATTTAGAAACAATGTACAACAATCAACTGTCCCAGGGAGTTGACTCAGAATCACCCGTGGAACTGTGTTTGGGGCTTTTCATGCCGGACTATTCTGAGTTGGGCGATGGTCTGCGCCTACAGATCTGTGCACAAAATCTGGCGACCATCCAGGTCATCTTCTGATCTTTGCCCAACAGCAAAAGGTAATAGACCTGAGTTCGTCGTGCCCCTTAATGCAAATATTGCCAATGTATTTCACATCTGGCAACCAATGTGCTCCTCGGGTTTCAGATACAACACGGGCAGACAAGAAACAGTCTGGGACACAAATTTCCATGGCCCTCTAGCGGCTAAGGTGGCTCATTTACTAGAAGTAATGTAGTTTGTAGTTTGATCAGCGTCGAGGTGTATACTCGGTGCTGATCAAACTAAGCTTCTGAAAAGAAGAGTGGCATGTTGTGATGGAAAATAGTGACTGTCGCTCGTGATTCATTCTCCATTGGGGATTTCACCTGAGGGAAAGGGAAGCAGAGGGCTGGCGCAGCGGCGCCAGGGAGAGAGAGAGCCATTGCGCCGTTGCATATTAAGTAGTGGCAGCGCTGTGATACGAAGTTAAAACCCCCACAGAAATGTGCCGACAGATACAGAACATCCAGTTTAATAAAGTACTGAGGTTATTTTATTGAAAGAAGAATTTTTTTCTGTCAGAAAATGGCCAGCAAGCGCCAGGTAAAAGAGTCTCGGGATGACCCAATACAGGGAGCTGTTGCATCTGAGGAGAATACTGAATTAGAAATGCTGAGGCTGGTATTAGAATTGGCTAAAGTTGAAGCAAAGAAAGAAAGAAAGATATAAGTTGAAGCAGAGAAAGGAAAGGGAAAAGCAAAATTAGCAGCTGAACAGGCCAGAATTGCAGCTGACATTCGGTTAGCACAGATACAGGCTGAGAGGGATATGGCAGAGAGAGAGAGCAGATGAGCTCATGAGGGAAAAGAAAAAGAAAGAAATGCCAGATTAGCCCAAGAAGAAAGAGAAAGGGAGGCCAAGATGGCCCATGAAAAAGACATGTTTCTTTTAAAGATGGAGGAAATTAAGCTGAGAGCAGAACTGCCACATCCATTGCTAGGGGGTGGAGACTTTACCTCAGCTAATGTAAAGAGATTTCCCTAAGTGTGTCAAAGGCATTCCTGCTAAGTTTTGAACAGACCTGTAAGGACTTAAATATTCCTGAGGAAAACTGGATGCTGTATTTACATCCACAGATATGTGGAACTTTGAGTGAAATATACTCAGATTTAAGAGAAGATGAAACCTCTGATTATCTCACGTTCAAAGAAAGAATGAAAGGGCGGTTTGGTTTAACTGCAGAGCAAAGCAGAAAAGCCTTTTGTGACATTAAAAGAAACTTATGTGCAACTGAGTAGCCGTATTGATAAAGCTCTGGACAGATGGGTGGAAGGAAGTAAAATCAAAACCTTTGATGAACTTAAACAGTTGATCAGTTTAGAGTAATTTTACAGACAGGTTCCTGCACACCTATGCTGGTTCCTTAAAGATAAGAAACTGGAAACAGTAACTGAAGTCTCTACCTTGTTAGATGAAATGGAAGGAGACTTAGGGGGAGCATTAGTACCCAGTCCCTTCAAGAAAAATAATGCCTGGAAACTCAGAGAGAACATTGGGACTCAGAACGACAACCCTGTAAGGCGGACCTCTCCTACACAATACAAACCTAAAGGAGTAATTTGTCAGGAGGAGGGTCACAAATTTTCACAGCCTTCTAGTGGCTAGGGTGGCTCATATAATAAGTCAATCCTTTATTAGGCATAGCAAACCACACATGATCAAACAAACACCGTATACAAATTGTGCAAAATACGAGCTCAGCATAACAAGGTTTGTCCCAGTCAGATCTTTAACGCCAGAGAAAATCAATTTGCATAAATAATACAATATAACACTACCACATCGCACAATCAATTAAGAACCACTAAATCTATTTGTAATGGCCTAGCCTTTCTACATGGACAGCACTCAAAAATTCAGCCACTAGTAAAGTAATTTGATTATTCCTGTCCGAGAGCAGGTCCTAAACTGTTGGTGGCATAGAATTGAGCCTGTTGAGTTGTAAGGCCTCTAATAATTTTTTTTAAAAAAGATATTTATTAGAATTTTACAAAATGAAAAAAGAAAAAAGAAAAATACAAAGTAAAAATAGATAAAAAAAAACAATTCCATCATTCCATCACTTTCTTTCATTTGCTTATTTCCCGGACCTCCTCACACCTCCCTTTTTGTATTCCAGTTCAGTTTATTAGTTCAGCAAATCCTTCCCCTCTTTGATTATCCTAATCTTTAATCTTAAAATAATATAGCATTAAATTTTTGTCTGTTAATAGCCCATTTTTTTTCATACTCCTTATAGCGTTATAGCTAAAAACCACATAACTTTTCATCCAACATCATTTTAACATTCATTAATTTAACAATATTTCTGTAGGTAGTTTTTAAATTTCTTCCAATCTTCTTCCACCAATTCTTCTCCCTGGTCTCGGATTCTGCCGGTCATTTCTGCCAGTTCCATGTAGTCCATCACCTTCATCTGCCATTCTTCCAGAGTGGGTAGATCCGATATTGAAGAGATGAGTAAGGGTCACAGTTTAGTGGCAGAGAACATGCTTTAAATGCTAAATGTTCAAGACTCTATCTGTAGCCCCTCCAGGTAGGGCTAGGGAAGACTAAAAACCCAGGAGAGCTTCTGCTGGCCAGTGTAGCTGATGCTCATGCAGACAAACCAATTATCTGACTTGATTTAAGGCTATTTCCTGTGGTCTGCCAGCTGATGGGATTTAGGACAGGCGTCCCAACTTCCAGGGACGGAAGGGTCTTCAGCCCCCTCAATATCTGCTGCCAGGGGGCTGGGCACCCTCTATGTTGAGCGTGGTTCAATGGTTGGCTCCTCCTGAATGCGAAGATTATTCTCATATCTCCTCTTGTTCAGAATAAACATACCCAGCTCCTTCAACCGTTCCTCATCAGGCTTGGCTTCTAGATTCTTGATACCTTTATTACTTCCTGTGATGTGGACACTATTTCTGTTGATGTAGCCGAGAGTCACTTTGGAGAATAGAAGACAAGGCGGAAACTGTCATACTTTAAGAAATAGGGTTTATTCAGCTATTTAAACCTTCAGTCTGCATGGAAGGAGTCTAGATCTTACGGCATGGTCAGTTCAAGAGGCAGCAGTGCAGGCATACAGCCTCTCTCTCCAAGATGGATCTCTCCTCCCCCCTCTTTCTTCCCCCCAGAGACCCCTTGCCTTCCCCCAGAGCAGGTACCCTGGCAAACTCCCAAATCCCCAGTCTTTGTTCACACCTAGGGTCAAGAGGGAAGTTCCCTTGTATTGTTAATGACCCCTATAGTACTCTTGATAGCCCTGGGTCAGCCAGGTTGATTTGCATAAGCCAGCCCAGGAATTATGTGTCTGGAACAGCTCTGCAGTTTATGTTCTAATCCATATCCCAATTAACCAAAATCCTAGCATTTATTCATTCTGAGGGTTTAACAATAGCATTAGCTTTGCTGCTGCATCACACTATTGACTCATGTTCAGCCTGTGGTCCACCAAAACACCTAGATCCTTTTCACATATACTGCTAGTAAACCAGATTGCCTCCCCCCTCCCTATATTTGTGCATCCGGTTCTTCCCTCCTAAGTGCAGAACCTGACATTTGTCCCTATTGAAATTCATTTTGTTAGCTGGGGCTCAATGTAGGGGTGCAAAAAAGAGGACACATTTATTGACTTCTGCTTTTTTGTTGACTTCTGCTTTTAACTATGGATCACTATGATGACTCTGCCCATGAGAAAAATGCCCATGAGGACAAAGAGAACAAATGGCAACCCCCAATCCTGATTCTTTCTTCTGCAGCATTAGCTACCACTCCCAGTTTGGTGCCATCTGCAAATCTGATGCACGTTCCCATTGCTCGAAGTAGCAACAGGTCAAACTTGTCCCCTGTACATTTCTAAAATATTGTGGTCTGATCTTCCTACCAGCCTCTCAGACCTGGAGGCTTTCAGCAGCACAGCAGGTACAGAGGGCATGACCTCACAGAGGACCAGGTAAGCCAGTCCACAAAAGAGAGTAATATACCCATGACCTCATAGAGCCCATGAAGATGTGGTCAGGCTGCTCCTACCAAATAGCTACCTAGTGAAAGGGAAGCACTGAGACTCTCCCATCAGATATTGGAAGTCAAAGAAGTGGATCATTTAAGAGGATTTGGAATCGAATGTCCCTATCAGGGTGAGTGATGAGCCAAACAAAGACCTCTCCCCTCCTTTCAATTCCCTCCTCCAAATGACCGCTGGGCTGGTTATGGATGTGGGAAAACACATTAGCTCCAACATGACAAAAGCTCCTGGTTTTCTTCCTCCATGTTTCCCAATGAACTGTATTTCTTAAAAAAACCAAACCAAACCAAACCTGGAAAGAGAAAGTGTGTTTTGACATCCAGTATCCTTACACTCCAAACAACTTTCCCAAGAAGTACCGTAATTGAAGCAGTTGCTTTTTGCACAGTCAATATAATCTTTTATTTTAGACACCTATACGACATGAAGAAGATTTTTTTCAAGTTTTTCTAGCAACATATTCACATATGGTTTTGTCATCTGAGAGCTTCCTTGCAATCATTTTCTAGAGACAGTTTTTTTTAAAACCATATAGAAGGCAAAGTAAAGAGGGGAGAGAAGGAAAACAAAACTGTATCCTTTACAGAGTTGTTATTCTCATTCACCAGATCTTAACCTACTACGTACAGTATTTGTAAGAATGGATTCAACATATCATTGAATTTGTCCACGGCAAGCCTGCTTTAAACGCAAGTTGCTCATATGTTGCAAGTTTGTATGTCTTAAATCCAATCGTGGAAGGGAGCCTCACTTTTATTTTTCCATTTCATCAGTCTCAGTCTTTTTTAGTGATACAGTCCTAAATCTGGGATCCCAAATCCTCCTTCCTTTATCAATATTTGATTTTTTTGAATCGATATTCTTGGAACTCAAGAGTCACAAAGGCATTTTCTAAACAAATATTTAATTTTGTGAATTGGAATTCCTCTTAAGATATAAACTAGTCTAGGTATTATGTTCAGTTTAAGAGCATTGACTTTCCCCCACAGGGTCAGGTTCAATGACTGCCATTTCTTGATATCCATTGATACCTCATAATAATAATAATAATAATAATAATAATAATAATAATAATAAATTATTTATATCCCGCCCTCCCCAGCCAAAGCCGAGCTCAGAGCGGCTAACAACAGTAAAATAATACAGCATTCTAAAATCAATTCATTATAAAATCAGTTTAAATCAAATTAATGGCAACAATTGGGCTAGAGTTCTGTGAGGATTACCAAAGCGAGAGCCTTGGCCACAGGACTGGTGAAACAGCTCTGTCTTGCAGGCCCTGTGGAAAGATGTCAAATCCCGCAGGGCCCTAGTCTCTTGTGACAGAGCATTCCACCAGATTGGAGCCGCAGCCGAGAAGGCCCTGGCTCTAGTTGAGGCCAGCTTAACTCCCTGTGGCCTGGAACCTCCAGGATGTTTTTGTTTGAAGACCATAATGTCCTTCGTGGGACATACCAGGAGAGGCGGTTCCGTAGGTATGAGGGTCCTAGGCCGTATAGGGCTTTAAAGGTTTAAACCAGCACCTTAAACCTGACCCTGTATTCCACCAGGAGCCAGTGCAGCTGGTATAGCACTGGGTGAATGTGACCCCGTAACGAGTCTCGCCGCGGCATTCTGCACCCGCTGGAGTTTCTGGGTCAGTCTCAAGGGCAGCCCCACATAGAGTGAGTTACAATAATCCAGACTGGAGGTGACCGTCGCGTGGATCACAGTGGCTAGGTCAGGGTAATAGAGGTAAGGAGCCAACTGCTTAGCTTGGCGGAGATAAAAAAATGCCACCTTTGTTATAGCTTGCAATCTATGCCTCCATGGAAAGGGAGGTGTCGAAGATTACACCCAAACTCTTAACGGACAGTGCTGGCACTAATTGCGCCCCCGCAAGAGATGGGTGTTGCCCCCCCCCCCAATCCCACATCATCCTGACTCAGCCAAAGTACCTCTGTCTTCGAATAATAATAATAATTTATTATTTATACCCTGTGCATCTGGCTGGGTTTCCCCAGCCAATCTGGGCGGCTTCCAACAAAACACTAAAATACAATAACCTATTAAACATTAAAAGCTTCCCTAAACAGGGCTGCCTTCAGATGTCTTCTAAAAGTTTGGTAGTTATTTTTCTCTTTGACATCTGAGGGGAGGGCGTTCCACAGGGCGGGTGCCACTACCGGGAAGACCCTCTGCCTGGTTCCCTGTAACTTGGCTCCTCGCAGCGAGGGAACCGCCAGAAGGCCCTCGGTGCCGGACCTCAGTGTCCGGGCAGAATGATGGAGGTGGAGACTCTCCTTCAGGTATACTGGACCGAGGCCATTTAGGGCTTTAAAGGTCAGCACCAACACTTTGAATTGTGCTTGGAAACATACTGGGAGCCAGTGTAGGTCTTTCAAGACCGGTGTTATATGGTCTCGGGGGCCGCTCCCAGTCACCAGTCTAGCTGCCGCATTCTGGATTAGTTGTAGTTTCCGGGTCACCTTCAAAGGTATCCCCACATAGAGCGCATTGCAGTAGTTCAAGTGAGAGGTAACTAGAGCATGCACCACTATGGTGAGACAGTCTGTGGGCAGCTAAGGTCTCAGCTTGCATACCAGATGGAGCTGATAAACAGCTGCCCTGGATACAGAATTGACCTGTGCCTCCATGGAGTCCAGAATGACTCCAAGGCTGTGCACCTGGTCCTTCATGGCACAGTTACCCCATTCAGGACCAGGGAGTCCTCCACACCCACCCGTCTCCTGCCCCCCCAAAACAGTACTTCTGTCTTCTCAGGATTCAACCTCAATTTGTTAGCCGCCATCCATCCTTCAAAGAATTTAACTTCAACCGGCTCCCACGTAACCATCCAGCCACAGCTTCCAAACATCTGATCAGTATGTCTGGGGCCGAGTCAGGATGGCCATCCATCAACAGATAGAGTTGGGTGTCATCAGTGTACTGATGGCAGCCCAACTCAAAACTCCGGACAAGCTGGACGAGGGGGCGCATAAAGATGTTGAAAAGCATCAGGGAGAGTATCATACCAGGAAGCACTCCTCACACCAAGGAGTGGCGCGATGACAATTCCCTCCCAAGCGCCACCCTCTGTCCCCGACCAGAGAGAAACGAGCGCAGCCATTGAAGGACTGTGCCCTGGATCCCCACGTTGAAGAGGCGGTTGTCCAGGAGTTCGTGATCGACCATGTCGAAGGCTGCTGACAGGTCTAAAAGAATCAGCAGCCCCAACCTGCCTCGATCCAGCTGCCTGCGGAGATCATCTGTTAGGGAGACCAGAGCTGTCTCGGTCCCATGACCAGCATGGAAGCCGGATTGGAATGGATCCAAGCTGTACAGCAACCGCCCTCTCAATCACCTTACCCAGGAATGGAAGATTCGAAACTGGGCGGTAATTGGATAGATCTAAAGGATCTAATGATGTTTTCTTTAAGAGTGGGTGCACCACTGCCTCCTTCAATTCCTCTGGGAATGTTATTTACATTTTGTTGATGTTTAACGATACTAATTTAGATAAACCTTGTGGTATTAATATCACACTGTTGACTCATGTTCAGCTTGTGGTCCACCAAGACCCCTGGATCCTTTTCACATGTACTGCTACTTAGCCATGTGCCCCCCATCTTCTATTTGTGCATCTGGTTCTTTCTGCCTAAGTGCAGAACCTTCCCTGTTGAAATTCATTTGGTTAGCTTGGGTCCAGCTATGGAGAGTGCTCAGCTATGGGGCTGTACTATTGAGTCTGGGTCAAGACAAATAGCGACTTGCTTACTAAACTATAGTTGCTCTTATGTCTGCTTCTTCCTTGGCTCTCATTCCCACACAGGACAAGATGCGTATCAGCAGGAAGCAGGGCATACTACTGCTGGCTGGCTACATGACTTACATAGTGATGGGTGCCCTTGTCATTGAGCTTCTGGAGAACGATCACCACGAAAGACTAGAAGAAGCAACGTTTCGCATGAAAGCACAATTCTTTTCAAACTACACCGCTCTCAGCCCAGAAGAGGTGGAGGTATTCATACAGGTAAGGCATTATTTTAGCAAGACTGAAATGACAGACCGTGGCAGGACACCAGAGGTTGAGAGATCAGAAAGTATATATGGGGGGAATACAGTTTAGGAGGTGGGAATTGAGGTGGGGACAGAATCAGTGGCCAGCATAGAGCCATAAGGACTCACCCTTCCTTCTGCATGTGAAAATTTATCCCCATGGAGGATTAGGCAAATTGTTGGAGGATAAGACAAGGAATGGCTACTAGCCATTATGGCTCTGTTCTGCCAACACTGTTGGAGGCAGCATGGGCTTCTCCACACTGAGCTTTCCTCCACTCTCTCCAGGCCTGGCCATGATTTAAAGCTCCGTGTCTGAGCACCATTTCGTTACTCTGGGGCTTTCCACGTCAAAACCAGCTTGTAAACAGCAATCATTGAAAACCCAAATTGACGTTTTCTCCGATTCAGTTATAAGGAGCAGGTTTTTGTTAGCATTTGTACTGCATTTGTTGGGAAACATATTTTGCAAAGAATATACAGTGGTACCTCGGGTTACATATGCTTCAGGTTACATACGCCTCAGGTTACAGACTCTGCTAACCCAGAAATATTACCTCGGGTTAAGAACTTTGCTTCAGGATAAGAACAGAAATCGTGCAGCAGCGGCAGCAGGAGGCACCATTAGCTAAAGTGGTGCTTCAGGTTAAGAACAGTTTCAGGTTAAGAACAGACCTCCAGAACGAATTAAGTTCTTAACCCAAGGTACCACTATATTGGGGAAAGGAGAACATACGTCATATAGCAGTTGCAAAACAGATGACTCTGTTCAAGGTCACAGAAAAGCTGAATCATTGTCTGGTTAACTGCCTTGAAAAGTGTGTTTGTGCCTTAGAACAGAGGATGGGAGATGATGTCGTCTCACCATTGTTTTGTTGACTGAGAATATGGGAGAGCCAATACTCCAAGCAGACTCTGTCCAAAAGAATTTATGAAGACAGGCAAGCCAAGCCATTTATGCATTGCTACAAAACCCTCTCTTGGGTTCAAGGGAGGGAAACCTCCCTCATTCCCCTCTAACGGCAAAGGCTCCTACTTGAGAGGTGCCAGAAATGAGTTCCAGAAAGTTCCAGCTGAAAAAAATGCCATGGTTGCTCGACTGTTCCAGAAGAACTTCCCTTCTGAGTGCATAGCAATTTGGTTAGCAGTATCTAGTGATAATCAGAGGAGGGGCTATTCTTATGGTTGGAATATTCAAACTGAGTCTTGCCTTCAATTGCAGAAACTGGTAAAAGCTGTCCGGTTGGGAATAGATCCAATAGGAACCAAACCTCATGATAAACACAGCAGCTGGGATTTCGCTAATTCTTTCTTCTTCGTGGGAACTATGTTAGCCACAATAGGTACTGTCATTTGGTTCTGGCTTCTCCCCGAATATAGTATGCAGGGCATTCAACTGCTCTCAGATAAATTGTGTAAAGCTGCAGGCTTTGCTTTTGCTCTTTCATCATCCTTCACATCTCATCTTTGTCTTGCCCTTTCTGGCCAAATAAATAGTTCATTTATTATATGCCCAACAAGACCATTCCCTGCTTGGTTATTTATTCCCCACCCTTCTGGGGTCAACCCATTATTAAAACCACCCTGTGGAAAGTAGTTGGGCTAGGGAAACAAGTTCAAATCCCACCAGGTGCAACTGACCCTATGATAGTCTCCCAATGCAAATCTGTCCCTCTCAGCACAACCCTATGCATTCAGTGGGACTTGCTCCCCAATAAATTTGCATAGGATTAAAACTTCTTTCCAGTAAGCTACAAAATACACTCAAGAAACCACACACCCTTTATCTCTAGATGAATGCCTTCAATGCAGAAAACCATGCACTGAATGAGTGGGAGAACATACCCTGTTAGCACTGTCTAATCCAGAGCTTTCAAAACTTTTCAGGTTGGTGACACACTTTTTATACATGCATCAATTTGTGACACGGTAATTGAGTTTTACTAGCAAACCGGTAGTTAAACTAACCCTTCTCCAGCATTCATACGACACACCTACACACTGCAGCCGACACACTAACTTGTCGCGACACACCGTTTGGAAAGCTCTGGTTAAGCTTTCTGGTGTGAAGCACAAATTGTTGATTCAAGTGTGCCAGGGATAAAATAATCCATACTTCGAATGCAGGCCATAAAGCTGCGGCTTCTGAGACCCAAGAGAAGGGCTTATCTGTTTCTCAGCCTTTGGACGAGGTATCCCAGGAGTCTTCATTTCTTGACTCTTCCCACTTGCAAATTTCAATCAGTAGATAGTAGTTTTCTAATTGGGTCTCTGATTATTCCGAGGTGCTTGGCAAAATCTTCATGGGATCTCAGCTGAAAACAACTCAAGTCTGGTCCTTACAAATGCATGGAGCATGTTGGTTATATATTTAACTTTTCAACATACAATAAAAACCAAACTAAACTCTTGCAATTGCTTATGCAATAATTGTGGGATGATACTAACAATCAATGGTGTGTTCAGTCATGTCTTTGCCATATTGAGTTCTGTTCATCTCTCCCTTAGCAGCCTCTGCTTTGAAAACTTGTGTCTGTCCCTTTAAGTAAACAGTGCATTCCATTCCAACGGTTTGAGGTTGAATCCAGACAAGACCAAAGTATTTTTTTCTGCGCAACAGGGGAAGCCACCCAGAGTGGCTGGGGCAACCCAGTCAGATGGGCGGCACAAAAATAATAAATTAAAATTATTCCCATGCTAATGGATTCAATCTCACTGAAGGAATGGAGAGTTAAAAGTAATATAAGATGAAGATTTTAAACTATCCAGATCATCCTTATCCATTGGTAAACGTTATTGAGCATCGATAATTTAAGATAAGCTTTTTGCTTTGTTTTTCCGCCTCTTAGTTAATGCCTCTTCTTACACCAGCAGCCAAACTGCATTCTGTTTTTTTTTTAATATAATTTTTATTAATTTTCATTAATAACACTCCAATATGGGCCACATTATTATGATGTCAAATCATACCAAATCATAATACAATTTATAAAGCCAATTATACATTCCAAATTAAACACATTAGATGGCTTTCTGTGTTTTGATGTTCCGGAGATAATTTATTCCAAAGTTCCACACAAAGTCTCATATGTAATCCAAAAATAACAATTTCAATCTTGATCCCTTCTTCTGTTGTTGTTTTTTTGCAGCGGCTGGTGTAACAACGTCACTCATATTTTTAAAAATCCATATCCATTAACTTGCAAGAGGCATTAAAGCTTCTAATTTTCTGTGTAAAATATTTTTTCTGTGTAAAATATTTTTCTTTTGTACTTCTTTTCATGTTATAATGCATCATCCTTTTTCCGCACTGTCTCCCTTCGAGAGTGATTTTTCAAAGTGTGTCAGAGCCAGCACTGTCGCCATCTTGTTTATCTGAACCAAAAGCATACTGGCATCATGCCATGCTCCGGGTTGACATCTAGCTCTTTGTTCTTAATCTTCCCAACTTTTTTAACAAGCTGATGTCTCACCAAAGCAGTTGTAGATCCAAATTAACACTCTCCATAGGAGACAGTAGGGACGTGGGTGGCGCTGTGGGTTAAACCACAGAGCCTAGACTTGCCGATCAGAAGGTCGGCGGTTCGAATCCCTGTGACGGGGTGAGCTCCCATTGCTCTGTCCCTGCTCCTTCCAACCTTGCAGTTCGAAAGCACCTCAAAGTGCAAGTAGATAAATAGGTACCGCTCTGGCGGGAAGGTAAAGGGCATTTCCGTGCACTGCTCTGGTTCGCCAGAAGTGGCTTAGTCATGCTGGCCACATGACCTGGAAGCTATACGCCGGCTCCCTCGGCCAATAAAGCGAGATGAGTGCCGCAACCCCACAGTCGGTCACGACTGGACCTAATGGTCAGGGGTCCCTTTACCTTTACCTATAGGAGACAGTGCCACAAAGCATCACAGTATTTCACAGTCTTTCATTTGAAGAACTCTGTAGGCAGATTCTAAAGTCTTTTTTTTTAAGTCCCTGTTGCATTCCCTCAGTCCACTAATAATTTCTTAATATGTCTTTAGTGAAGGTTTGCTGGATCATAGATCATCAAATATAATATAAATATAAAAAGAGAACAAAAGGCTCCCCTTCACTTACATAATAATCCTGTTACGGTGAAGTCCTCTCCAGATCAAAACCTTGGCACGCAATGGCTGGTTTCATTTAGCAGGTTCCCATGTCTCCTTGTTCCAAAACATGCCTGTTCTTTAAGTGCCCCTGCCCCTCGCATTCCATCGGAGCGAGAGAGAGTTAATGGACAATCCGCGAGTGAAGGCTCGCCCCTCCGATCGGGGTGTGTGTGTGTTTCCACAAGGATAATTACTCTCATTTTTATCCTTGATTAAGTGCAGAATCGGGATCCGCTATTATGGGACCGCTGCACGCCATGGCATTCCATGCCAGAAGTCCCAATTTACATTCTGGATAAGAATTATTTAATAAGAATGAATTGGCAGATAGATCAGCCAAGTTATAATTGAGTCCATTCTCAAAATAAGGTAAAAGGGAGGTTTGTCTGAGCAGATGCCCTGAAGGCTTACACTGAGGGCTGTTATGGGCTGTTATCTGGGCACAATGGTGGTTCTTCTATCTAAGATGCTCCTTGCATGCCCAATTTCATCACCAAAGACATATCATCAAATACATTTCTAAATACATCCCAAAAGAAATAAGAATTTTGTAATTCGTTTTTTAATCCAATAACCGTGTCACAAATGTTGAAGAACTGAAAAATCTGAAGGTAATTGGCAAATCGATAGTTGCTGACGTCCTTTGCAACTCTTTCTTAATCTTTCAACAGGCTATGGAAACCTCTGTCCCCAAACAGCAGATGGACAGATCTTTTGTGTTATTTTTGCTCTCTTTGGAATCCCCTTCAACCTTATCTGCTTGAACTATATTGGCTTTTTTGTCTCAAGAATCTGTGAAACCTGTGCAGAGAAAGTGTATTGGAAAGAAAATAAGGTAATTCATCTGGAGATGATTTTTAATCTTACCAGTCACAAGACTGAGGGTGACATAGACTGCTGCTGCACTCAAGTCCTGTATGCAGGGTTCCTGTGGGTATCTGGTCAGCTTCGATGAGAACAGGATCATCGACTAGACGAGGCCCTTGCCTGATCCAGCAGGGCTCTTCTTCTATTATATTGCATATACATATGCATATATAATTAGCTGCCTCTATAATAGGAGGAAGACAAGAATAAATTAGACATGTGCATTATGCCCTCTAATTAAGTGAGGAAGATAAACTCTCGCTCTGCCTTCAAATAGGAATGAGAGAAACTCCCCAAATTATTTGTTTTAGCAGTACATATTTTTGGAACACAGCTGTTTGCCTTTAGTGAAAATGGCTCCAGTATAAATTTGCAAAATATATCTTCTCAAATTCATGGAATTTAATGTTTCTTAATTCTCCAAAATGTTAGTGGGTGTGAGGGTCATAGCTGTCAAGTGTCCCTTATTTGAAGAGACAGTCCCTTATTCCAGCGCCATGCCCCGCTGCTGTCCCTTATTGATAGATGCCCCTTAAATGTCCCTTAAATGATGTCCCTTAAATTTCAAAGGAAGCAGCTCCTCTCCCTTCCTCCCTGCCGGCCAGGGAGGAGGGAGGCTCCAACTGTGTTGCTTGGCTGTGTTGGTCACCCAATAAGAAGTCTAAGAACGACTGGGGGCGTGGAGCTTGCATGCCTTGTGTGTGGCTAGTTAATGCAAGCTGAGGGGTTTTTTGAATGCTGGATGCCATTTTGCTGCACGTGCTGCTGCAAACTTTGCAGTGCAAAGCCAGGCCGGGGAGCCATCTTAAGTTGAGGCTGCATAGGCCTTGTGGTGCATGTGACTTAGATTCTATTCAGTTGAACCTCTGGTTACAAAGTTGGTTGGACAGTGTTCTCAAAGCTACCAGCATGAGTTTGACCAGACTGCAGGAGGACAGGAAGACTGGAGTGCCTGGAACAGGTGAGGCTGCAGGTCCCTTATTTTCAAGGCTGCTGGTCCCTTATTTTCAAGGCAGCTGGCCCCTTATTTTCAAATCTGTAAGTTGACAGCTATGGTGAGGGTGGGTGCAAAAATCTACAACTGAACAAAAATTGAATTGTCACCTTCTGATGTGTAAAACATTATCCAAACTGTGTTGTACATTTTGTTATTACAAACTCGGACCTTACTTTCCCCTATATTGGAATACAGCTGTTTGCATTTAGTGAAAATGGCTCTGGGATAAATTTGCAAAATATATCTTCTCAAATTCATGGAATTTATTGTTCTTAACTCTCCAAAATGCTCGTGGGTGCAAGGGTGTATGCAACAACGTACAAGTGAACAAAAATTGCATCATCACCATTTTTTTCAATGTTTAGAAAATCAAGTTTGCCAAGTTAGCACGGGATTATGACAGACCAAGGCTTTTAGATACTTGCCTGTTTCTAAAACGAAGGTTTCTTATTTGCTTACAGCTTGTGGTTTGTCTGGAGGAGGCAAAAACAATGAGCCTGAGTTTGGACAAAATGCTAAGCCAAACCATGCCTTAGTTTGTGGCCAAAGCAGCCACCATCTCCTCTCCTGGAGCCTGTCTTGGAGAAATTTAAAAGGAGGTTCCCAGACTGTAGCTTCCCCACACAGCAACCCAAAAGAAAAGGATGGAGCCTCCAAGTGAAATGATAGGCTTTTATTGAAAAAGAAATGTGCATAGGGGCAGCCTCACACATAAGAAGAAGGCTGCAAAGAACCACATCCAAAGCCATGTTCTTTACACATTTCTAGATTACACACGCCATTTTTATTCACCAATCCAAGGATCACAGCAATCTTAACAGGTGCAACCCCATGTTGTCATCCTGAACCAATTCAAATCATTTGGTTCTTCAGATCAGCCCTCATCATAATGCCGTGTGATTACATACAACCATTTTTCAGTGTCTTTCTTTCTTAAGACTTTGACTAATTTCCCTGTTCATTACAAGTTTTCCAATGTCCTCTTTCCTTTTTTTTTTTTTACAAAACAATTCAAGACTGATCCCAATTGCCATGCCTAGCTGATTCTCGTTTTAGGCATACAGTGGCACCCATAGATTCGAACAGTGTTTGCGAACGGACATTCACTATGCACAGTACCTCAAAACAGCTAGTTCTGTACTGTAAAAATTCAATGTTCAAAATACAGTTTTATTAAATTATTATTTTCTCCAACACCTGCACCCTTGCACTGCCACACTAAACCGTGGCTTGGCTTATGTGTCATTACATGTGAACCAAGCAACTGCATGTGAATGGAGAACTGGGTATTGTGCTCCAGATGAAGTCTAACAAGGGTGGAATTATTGTTATTTATATGTTAATGCAGCCTAAAATCCCTGTGCATGGCTGGAGGCCAAGAACACTGAGCTCTGTTGCATCAAACCTACCTTTTTAATTTTCTTTTTTGCTTTATCTTTCAGAAAACAGCAAAATATCTTTTCTTCTATGTGGTTTTGGGGATTCAAATGTTTCTTATTTTGCCTTCGTTTCTCTTTCAATGGATGGAGGGCTGGAATTATAGTGAAGCTGTCTATTTTACATTTATTACACTCAGCACCATTGGTTTTGGAGACTATCTAATAGGTAAGGCTTTCAAAATACTTTCATATTGTGGGCTTCACTGTTGTGCTGAAGAATATGAAAGCTCAGATCAGGTGCCATACAAAATGATGGTTGGCAATGATTATAATTTGGAACCCAAAGCATATTTTAAGTTTCTCAAGTACAGACCCTCCAAGTATACCTATTTTCCAGGAACAGTTCTGGATTTACAGAAGCCATCCCAGTTTCTGATTTGATCCTGGAATGTCCTGCTTTTCCTTAAGACGTCCCTATTTTCATTGGAGAAATATTGAAGGGTATGGAGCTTTATGACCCACGAGCCAAGGAGATAAGTAAACTTTAGAAGACAACTGAAGGCAGCCCTGTATAGGGAAGTGTTTTAAAGTTTACTTTTTTATTATGCTTTTCTATATGTTGGAAGCCGCACAGAGTGGCTGGAGCAACAGAGTCAGATGGGTTGGGTAGAAACAATAAACTTATTGTTACTATTGTTACTATTACTATTATTAAGGACATCCCTATCTTAGAACAGATAATTCAACATTTGGTCTGTGAGCATTTAGAAAAGGATGCTGTGATTACTAAGACCCAGCATGGGTTTCTCAAAAATAAGTCAATTTTTTTGATCAAATTACAAACTTGATGGGTCAGGGAAATGCTGTGGACATATTATACCTTGATTTTGGTAAGGACTGCATGATTTTCTCCAGAGGAAGTAGGTAACATGTGGGTTGAAGAAGGTAAGCGTTAGGTGGATTTGTAGCAGGCTGACTGACCGAAACGAACCGAAAGAGTACTCATTAATGGTTCGTTGACATCCTGCAAAAAAGGGACAAGTGGGGTGCCACAGGGTTTTGTCTTTATAAATGACTTGGATGAATGAATTGAGAGGATGTTTATCAAATGCACAGACGACACCAAACTAGGAGGGATAGACAGAACCAGAATTCAGAATGACCTGGAGAATTGGGCACAATCTAACAAAATGAATAGATTTTGCACCATTCTAGCAACTGCAACCACTTCTGCCTGAGGCCAACAACTGGAACAAACTGTTGCCAACAAATGTTGGATGAAAATAAATGTTTCTACATTTCTATTATTATTATTATTTATTATTATTTATTATTATTATTATTTATTATTATTATTATGTTTTATAAACAAGAATAATGTTATACAAATAAGTATACCAAGTTTTCTCATGTCATTTGTATATCACAAAAATAGCATAATCAATGTTGAGTAATATCTACAACGCATGGTTCATTATTAGTGAACCAATTTCTTGGTTCATGAATTGGTTTAAACTATTAGGAAGAAAAGAGGGGGAAAGAGGTGGAGGGAGGAATGGTAAGTGGGGTTGGGTGGGGTGGCTATACTTCTATTCAAGTACGTTTCTGAGCACAAAAGTGTTGGTGCTGACCTGTAAAGCACTAAATGGCCTCAGCCCAGTATACCTGAAGGAGCGTCTCCACCCCCATTATTCAGCCCAGACACTGAGGTCCACCTCTGAGGGCCTGGGGCCAGTCCCTCACTGCAAGAAGTGACGATACAGGGAACCAGAAAGAGGTGGTGGCACCTTCCCATCAGGTGTCAAGGAGATAAAGAACCACAAAACCTTTAGAAGACATCTGAAGGCACCCCTGTATAGTCAGATGGTTGGAGTACAAATAATAAAATTATTATTATTAATATCATCATCATCATTGAGCAGGAAGTTACAGGATGTGCACTGATTGGAAATTTGGTAGTGCAACCACACCAAAGCCTTTACAGGCTCAAACATCATCATGAGCCTAAACCATCACAAATAGGACATTGGTAGTTTCCTATGTGTAGTGGTAGAAATGTGTTTTAAATGTATGGTGTTAACATGACCTAATGAAGTTTAGATAAATTGAGTTGGCGAGTCCTTTCTTTTTTTTGTAAATAATTTTTATTCATTTTCCAATTAAAAAACATTATTAATAACAAATCAAACCAAATATTTCCACATTCAAAAACAAAATAGGAATTATATAATCCAAATTAATTAATTTCAATGGGACTTCCCGTGTTCTGGATTCAAGAGCTAAATGTCCATCCTTTATCTTTCTGCTGTCTTCTTTGTTACTTCACAATTTTCCAGTCCTGATATTGACAATTTCCTCTCTCGATCAGTCAGTCGCTGGTATAACTATCTTGTTTTATTTGACCATTCCTTATTTCTATAATCATGCAGAGGGCTTTTTCCACATTGTTCTCAGTCTTAATATTTTGAAGCACAGTCCTCCTTCGATGACCCCTCCTTTTTCTGTTGATTGTTGTTCTAATAGGCTCTGGACTTCCATCCAAGGTTGAAGTTCATTAGCGACTTCGCACTGTCTTTTGATCTTTAATGTTTCAAATGTATTGTAGGAGTGTACTTGGCAATGTATTGTAGGAGTGTACTTTTTGAAGTCCGAAACTTTGCCTCCAGCGACTGTGTAGTTTAGCAGATTTTTCTTTTAACTCGTTCTGTCCATAACACGCCTGGATTTTTTTGCCAAACCTTTTAATTTTTAGGAAGCAGGAACTCCCGGCTGACGGGACTGACGTTGGAGAGTTGCTAAATTCGTGCCTTGGACGCAGATAACCTATGGTCTGCGGGTGGTGTGGCGCAGCTCCCCCCTCCCCGGGATGTGTGTGTCAGGGTTAATTATTTAACCCTGAATTACTGGCACAGCTGTTTGTCTGATCTCTTGGGAGGCTGCCATATCTCATCGTCGGAAGCCGGAAGTCTGAGTTGGCGGGTCCTTTAAATCACCTCCTCACACTTTACTGTTGCTTTTCTCTGTGTCTCCAGGGAGGAAGCATGACAGGTCATATTTTATGGGCTACCGGCTACTCGCAGCCACTTGGATCGTCATTGGTCTGGCCTGGATAGCTGTGCTGTTTGACCTTGTATCCTCATTACTTGAACCTCCAGCTCCAGTAAGAAGAAGAAGCAGCGCACGAAGAGAGAGTAGTGGGGACAACATAACACTGTCCCAAAGGGGTCAGTCTGTTAGATTTTCAGTGACGGAGAGTACAAGTACATCATTGCAGTCTCGTGGAGATTGACATAAAAATCAGTTGTACTCAAGAACTTCCATTGAGCTTTTTATAATTATATGCTATTGTTGACATTCTGCGTATTCCTTAAAAACTCGCTAGTTGCTCTTTAAGTTACGCAGTTCCTAATAAACTGTGAAATAGCCATGTTTCGGCAACCAAGAGAGGGAGGGTGGCTATTACATAAAAATTATGTAATTACATAAAAATCAGTTTTATATACTGTTGTTTTTATGTTTACTTTTGATGTCATCTTTTTGGAAAATAAATTGTTATTAAAAAAATTACATAAAAATCAGCTACACGCAAGAACTTCCGCTGAGCTTTTTATAATTATATGGCATTGTGACATTCAACTGATCCCTTAAAAACTGGCTAGCTGGTCTATAAGTTAGTACCATATTTTTCGCTCTATAAGACGCACCAGACCATAAGACGCACCTAGTTTTTGGAGGAGGAAAACAAGAAAAAAAATATTCTGAATCTCAGAAGCCAGAACAGCAAGAGGGATCGCTGCGCAGTGAAAGCAGCAATCCCTCTTGCTGTTGTGGCTTGTGGGATAGCTGCGCAGCCTGCATTCGCTCCATAAGATGCACACACATTTCTCCTTACATTTTAGGAGGGAAAAAGTGAGTCTCATAGAGCAAAAAATACAGTAACTCCTAATAAACTGTGAAATAGCTGGGTTTTCTGCATCAGATTATAATGCCTCTTCATTACAGGATATGTATTGTGTTTTAGCAATAAGGAGAGAAAGGAAGGGTCTTACTTGGATTCTCAAAACTGGAATGTGTGCAGTGGAGAACAACCAAGATGATCAAGGGTCTGGAAACCAAACCTTATGAGGAGTGGTTGAAGGAGCTGGGTATTTTTATTCTGGAAAAGAGGGGACGGGGGAGATATGAGAGCCGTCTTCAAATATCTCAAGGGCTGTCACATGGAAGAGGGAGCATGCTTGCTTTCACCTGCTCTGGAGGGGAGGACTCAAACCAATGGCTTCAAGTCACAAGAAAGGAGATTCCAACTAAACATCAGGAAGAACTTTCTGACAGTAAGAGCTGTTCAGCAGTGGAACGAGCTCCCTTGGAAGGTGGTGGACTTCCTTGGAGTTTTTTCAGCAGAGGTTGGATGGCCATCTTCCTGGATGCTTTAGTTGAGATTCCTGCATTGCAGGGGGTAGGACTAGATGATCCTTGGAACCCATTCCAACTCTGCAATTCTATGATTCCATGATTCTAAGGGGCATTTCCATCCAACATCAGGAGAGGCACAGGGTCCCCACGTAAAGCAGGCGGGAAGTGGTGGAATTTTCTGTCTTGAGGACCACACTGGCCTTTGCCTTCCAGTGAGCACTGCACACCCTCACGTGTCCATGCCTGCTTGTGAACACACACAGAGACACAGAGCCCCCCCTCTCACCAAAGCAGTGAAGACTAGCTGAGGTGGAGGTGACAGCTGCACCCTCATTCATCAAAAGATAGATGGGCATTCAAACTCCCCACACCCAGGACACCCCATCAGGGCGCTGAGCCTCACCTACTATTTAGATATACGTGCCGTCGCCAAAAATAGTGGGGGGTCTTGAAGTGTCAGAAAAAAATTGTCTGGTGGCTAGATTAAGCTCCCAAACTGGGAGTTGCCCACCCCCTGAAGTATAGCCTCCCCTGAAAGAGGATCACATGACCAATGTTTCATTTTAAAGCCCTATACGGCCTAGGACCCTCGTACCTATGGGACCACCTCTCCTGGTACGCCCCACGGAGGACCTTACGGTCTGCAAATAATAATGAAGGGCCATAAGAATATTGTTCTATTTGTTGTTGTTTAGTCGTTTAGTCGTGTCCGACTCTTCGTGACCCCCTGGACCAGAGCACGCCAGGCACCTCTGTCCTCCACTACTTCCCGCAGTTTGGTCAAACTCATGCTGGTAACCTCGAAAACACTATCCAACCATCTTGTCCTCTGTCGCCCCCTTCTCCTTGTGCCCTCCATTTTTCCCAGCATCAGTGTCTTCTCCAGGGAGTCGAGTCTTCTCATGAGGTGGCCAAAGTACTGGAGCCTCAGCTTCACGATCTGTCCTTCCAGTGAGCACTCAGGGCTGATTTCCTTAAGAATGGATGCATTTGATCTTCTTGCAGTCCATGGGACTCTCAAGAGTCTTCTACAGCACCATAATTCAAAAGCATCAATTCTTCGGCGATCAGCCTTCTTTATGGTCCAGCTCTCACTTCCATACATCACTACTGGGAAAACCATGGCTTTAACTATACGGACCTTTGTTGGCAAGGTGACGTCTCTACTTCTCAAGATGCTGTCTAGGCCTGTCATTGCCCTTCTCCCAAGAAGCAGGCATCTTTTAATTTCGTGGCTGCTGTTCTATATTGTTCTATATATGATCCCAAAAATTCTTTGAGGCATTTTCTCCTCTCTCATATGTTATCCCAAAACCCCCTTCCTTTAAGGCCTGGAGGTTTTTACACCAGCCAGAAGAGCAAGGCTTTTTCTCTTCTCTTCTCTTAGATTTTACAGTGAATATGGGCCTCTTTGGGCCTCTCTGAGGAAAGTGTGTGCTTAGGCACATAAAAGTAAGAGCAAGGTTGAATGTGTTGCTATTGTAACCCCAGACAAGGAGGAGGGAAACATAGGAAATGGCCTTTTATGGAAGAAACGAAAGCTATTATTGTAAATCAAATGTTTTACGGGAAAACACATAAAAAAAATTCCTTCCAGTAGCACCTTAAAGACCAACTAAGTTAGTTCTTGGTATGAGCTTTGGTGTGCATGCACACTTCTTCAGAAGTATCTGAAGAAGTGTGCATGCACACGAAAGCTCATACCAAGAACTAACTTAGTTGGTCTTTAAGGTGCTACTGGAAGGAATTTTTTTTGTTTTGACTATGGCAGACCAACACGGCTACCTATCTGTAACGGGAAAACACATGTCTATGTATTCCATAAGGGTATAAAAGGGGATGGCATGCCCAAAGGGGGGGGGGGCAGGCTACGAGCATGAGCTGGCCTGTGTCTATTGTCCTAGCAATTGCTATTACAAAATAAAGGAATTTTTTCCTGCTGCGTTTTGACTCTTTCAAGCGTCTCTATTGCTCCAAAGATCCGATAAGGAGGACATAAAGCATGTCCATCAATAACACCTTGGAGATCCCGGGCCTCAGAGAGATTAGGCTCTGCCACAAGAGACCAGGGCCCTGCGAGATTTGACATCTTTCCGCAGGGCCTGCGAGATGGAGTTGTTCTGCCAGGCCTTTGGTGAGGGCTCAGCCTGACTCCCCTTCTCTTTTTGTATAAGAACTACAGTGGTACCTCGCAAGACGAATGCCTCGCAATACAAAAAACTCGCAAGACAAAAGAGTTTTTTGTATTTTGAGCTGCTTCGCAAGAAGATTTTCCCTATGGGCTTGCTTCGCAAGACGGAAACTTCTTGCAAGTTTGTTTCCTTTTTATTAACACCGTTAATACAGTTGCGACTTGACTTCGAGGAGCAACTCATAGAACGCGGTGTGGTAGCCTTTTTTGAGGTTTTTGAAGACTTTGGTGATTTTTGAAGCTTTTCCAAAACTTTTCCGACACCGTGCTTCGCAAGACGAAAAAAATCGCAAGACGAAAAAACTCGCGGAACGAATTAATTTCGTCTTGCGAGGCACCACTGTAAAAGGACACATTCTACTCATGTAAAAACACCCGGATTTCCGGACCGTCTGCAGGCCCAATTGAGAAGGTGATTGGGCCGCATCCGGTCCCTGGGCCTTAGGTTGCCTACCCCTGGGTTAGAACGGAAAGGTTTAGACCCTTGTTATGCTTAATGGCCCATAACCATTCAACTTATACGGCAAAGACTTGCTGGAGCTTTTTCAAAATGCAAGGGTTATATGCAGCACGTAGTCAAACGATGGAACTCCTGAGCAAGCCAATCACATGAATACATTGAGTTTAGCAGGTTAGTCTGTATGATGCCCGAGTCACATCTAATTCCTTGGGTCCTGGATCCAGCAAGAGTTAGAAATGTAGAGATGGAAGAGACCATGAGGGGGTGGTTTAGTCCAGCCCCCCCTTACCTGGGAGTGAGCCCCATTGAATCCAGCAAGGCTTACTTCTGAGTAACTACCGTATTTTTCGCTCTATAAGACGCACCAGACCATTATGTTAATTTGGAATGTGCAGAAAATATATATATATAAAACAAATTCAGGGAACCGCAGAAAGAGGGGGAAGGAAGTCGAGTTTTGAAATGTTAAAATGATCGTAAAACTATTGAAATGTATAAAACTGAAATAAAATCATAAAAAAGAAAAGAAAAAACTCTTTTTTGTTTGGTGAATTGTCCCCAAAACATAGCTCAAAAGCTTCATCTTTTTTGGAGCTTTTGCAAAAAAAGCTCAACAAGTGTCCAGATTTTCATTTTTTAAACACTATTTTATGTAATAAACATCCTCCTCTCTTACCAATTTCCCAGCTGAAATCTCTCTCTTGTACCAATGCACACCTGAAACTAATAACCTGTTATTAGCTCTGCTGGGAAAAATAAGAGGTATAATATGGGTCTTTCCCTTTTCTGCCTCCGTGGGGCTATCAGCAGCTTAATGAGGTAAGGGACAGATTCCCTTCCAGAAAGCAGCTTGGGCGAGCCAAGGGTTAACCACCTCCCTCTGCCAGTTTGGTCCTCCCCTGCAGGTGATGTGAAGCTTTATTGCTATTTAAAGGCTGACTTCCCAAACTGCTGGCCTTCACTGAGATGAGCAAAGGCTTGGGTTGGTGGGGTGTGGATGTTGCGGGCGGAGGGTCCCTCGAAGCAGAAATCTAGAGAACATTTATCAAAGCACGTAATGCTACTGGTGATTCCTAAAAGGAAAGGGCTTTTGACAGAGCAGTGCTGCTTTGCTGCCTGTGAAATTTTTGCTTTTTAAAAAATATACTATTTTAATTCTACTAGACCTTGCTTGCTTTTGAGCTTCTCTTTCACGTTCTTAGTTTTTTGGGTCGGTTTGTTTTTTTGCAATTTTATCTGTTTTAATTTGCCTAAGCTGCCTTGAGCCCCCAGTGTGGGAAGAAGGTTGGGATATCAATATCAGCAACAATTGTAATAGATGTGAAGATGAGGGAAGCTTTAGGTTTATTGTTCATTTAAGCATCTGCTTTGAATGCAGAAGGTTTCAGGTTCAATCCCTGGTATCTCCCAGTGAGGTTAGGGAGCTCCCTTGTCTGAAATTCTG